CAAAAGAAAAGAGAAAGGACCCAAATTAATAAAATTATGAATGAAAGGGGAGAGATTATGGCTAAAACCAAGGAAATACAAACAATTATTAGAAGTTATTACCAGAAACTATATGCCAACAAATTAGGCAATCTGGAAGAAATGGGTGCATTCCTGGAATTTTATAAATTACCAAGACTGAAACAGGAAGAAATAGACAATCTGAACAGACCAATAAACAGTAAGGCTATTGAAGCAGTAATAAAAAAACTTCCAAAAACATGAGAAGTCCAGGGCCAGATGGCTTCCCAGGGGAATTCTACCAAACATTTAAAGAAGAAATAATACTATTCTACTGAAGCTGTTTCAAAAAATAGAAATGGAAGGAAAACTTTTAATCTTTTTCTATGAGGCCAACATTACCTTGATCCCAAAACCAGACAAAGACCACACCAAAAAGGAGAATTACAGACCAATATACCTGATGAACTTGGATGCAAAAATACTCGCCAAGATCCAAGCCAATAGGATCCAATGGTACATTAAAAGGATTATTCAACATGACCCGGTGGGATTTATTCATGGGATGCAAGAGTGGTTCAACATTCACAAATCAATCAGTGTGATAGAACACATTAATAAAAGAAAAGGCAAGAACCATATGATCCTCTCAATTGATGCAGAGAAACATTTGACCTAATAAAGCATCCTTTATTGATTAAAACTCTCCACAGTGGAGGGATAGAGGGAACGTACCTCAATATCATAAAAGCTATATACAAATAATCCACAGTGAATATCATTCTCAATGGGGAAAAAGTGAAAGTTTTTCCCTTAAGGACAAGGACACGACAGGGATGCCCACTCTCACCACTATTGTTCAACATATTACTAGAAGTGCTAGCCTCAGCAGTCAGACCGCAAAAAGAATAAAAGGCATTCAATTTGACAAACAAGAAGTCAAACACTCTCTCTTTGCAGATGACATGATACTTTATATGGAAAATCCAAAGACTCCACCCCTAAATTGCTAAAACTCATACAGCAATTCAGCACCATGGCAGGATACAAAAATCAATGCACAGAAATCAGTTGCATTTCTATACACTAACAATGTGAATGAAGAAAGAAATTAAGGAATTGATCCCATTCACAATTGCACCAAAATACATTAGATACCTAACCAGAGTTCAAGTACTCTAGAAACTACAGAACACTTATGAAAGAAATTGAGGAAGACACAAGGAGATGGAAAAATATTCCATGCTCATGGATTGGAAGAATAAACATTGTTAAATTGTCTATGCTGCCCAGATTAAACTACACATTCGATGCTATCCCTATCAAAACATCATCAACTTTTTTTCACAGAGCTGGAACAAACATCCTAAAATTTGTATGGAACCAGAAAAGACCCTGAGTCACCAGGGGAATGTTGAAAAAGAAAACCAAAGCTGAGGGCATCACACTGCCTGACTTCAAGCTGTATTACAAATCTGTGATCATCAAGACAGTATTTTACTGGCACAAAAACAGACACATAGATCAATGGAACAGAATAGAGAGCCCAGAAATGGACCCTCAACTCTATGGGCAACTAACCTTCGACAAATCAGGAAAGAATATCCAACGGAAAAAAGACAGTCTCTGCAATAAATGGTGTAGGGTAAATTGGACAGCCACATGCAGAAGAAAAAAAAAACCTGGACCATTCTCTTACAGCATACACAAAAATAAATGCAAAACAGTTCAAATATCTAAATGTGAGACAGGAATCCATCAAAATCCTAGAGGAGAAGACAGGCAGCGAGCTCTTTGACCGTGGCCATAACAACTTGTTGCTTGACTAGTCTTCAAAGTCAAGGGAAACAAAAGCAAAATGAACTATTGGGACTTCATCAAGATAAAAAGCAAAGGAAACAGTCAACAGAATTAGAAGGCAACCTATGGAATGGGAGGAGATATTTGCAAATGACATTACAGATAAAGGGCCGGTGTCCAAGATCTATAAAGAACTTCTCAAACTCAGCACCCAAAAAACAAATAATCTAGTTAAGAAATGGGCAGAAGACATGAACAGACATTTCTCCACAGAACACATACAAATGGCCAACAGACACATGAAAAAATGCTCCATATCACTTGCCATCAGGGAAATACAAATCAAAACCACAATGAGATACTACTTTACACCAGTCAGAATGGCTAAAATTAAAAAGACAGGAAACAACAAATTGTTGACAAGGATGTGGAGAAAGGGGAACCCTCTTACACTGTTGGTGGAAATACAAGCTGGTATCGCCACTCTGGAAAACAGTATGGAGGTTCCTCAGAACGTTAAATATAGAGCTCTCCTATGATCCAGCAATTGCACTACTGGGTATTTACCTCAAAATACAGATGTTGTTAAAAGGGGGGCACATGAACCCAAATGTTCATAGCAGCAATGTCCACAATAGCCAAACTGTGGAAGGCCCGAGATGCCCTTCAACAGATGAATGGATAAAGTAGATGTGGTTTATATATACAATGGAATATTATTCAGCCATCAGAAAGGATGAATACCTATCATTTACATCGACATGGATGGAACTGGAGGGTATTATGCTAAGTGAAATAAGTCAGAGAAATAAATCAGAGAAACACAATTATCATATGGCTTCACTTATATGTGGTCCATAAGGAATGGTGCAGAAGATCATAGGGGAAGGGAGGGAAAACTGATCAGAGAGGGCTACAGACCATATGAGACTCTTGACTCTGAGAAACAAACTGAGGGTTGATGAAAGGGAGGTGGTTGGGGAGATAGGTCAACTGGGGTGATCAAATTAAAGAGGGCACGTGATATGATGAGCGTTGGGTGTTATACTCAACTAATGAATCATTGAACATTATATCAAAGCTAATGATGTACTATACCTTGGCTAATTGAATTTAAATAAAAAATAATCTAATTGGTGCTTCAAAATCAGGTTTTTAAATGACAGAACAGGACAAACCACTTTCTAACTTTTGAATGAAAATGGATAATACATAAATATGCAAAAGAGAAATGACATGTGGACATAAATTAAAAAATGAAAATATCCTACTGCTAAGCTGTATTAATAATAAATAAAAACATACTTTACTAGGAAGAAAAATGGTTCCATTAAAAAATGAATTCACACAACTAGTGAATCATTGAATATTATATCAAAAACTAACAATGTACTATACTTTGGCTAACTGTATTTAAATTAAAAAAAACAAGTAACAGACCATTTTCCTTAGAAAAAATAGACAATATTATTAGAAACAACTCCTCAAAAAGGCATAAGATGCAATTAGCTTCACAAGAAACACAAGTCTTCAAGGGTCATAGATTTCACTTGTTTGATATAGTTCGAATTGATGGAAAATTTAAATTCTTATAGAAAGAAATATAACAGTGATACATACACTTGATATATAAAATACAGAAAAATTAAAATTGGGGAATATTATGAAATACTGACACAAATGTTCTAAATAAAATGTCAACGGTGAGATTCCATTATCAGATTAATATATTCATACACTGTGTCCATAGTGAGTTATTGCAGATATAGAGTGAGAATCCATATTGATAAATGCTCTAAGATATCATACTGATAAATCAACAGATGAAAATAACATGATATCACTAGGCTTAGAAAGGTCCTTTGATTAAGTTGAAATCAAATCCCTAATAAAAACCACATAAAATAGAAACAAATGGAGACACTCATACCCTGATACCACACTCTCTCCCCCACACACAAAACACATCCCCATTGTCAGGAAATTAGCTAATGGGTGGCTGGAGGGAGGACATTGCTACAATTTAGGAACAGGGAAATGTGACTTCAGTGTTATTATTCAACATCTTTCTGCAAGTATTAGACAATGGAAGTGAACAAGAAAAATTACTGGTTAGAGCTCAGTAATGATGGGAATAGACATGGAGTTATTTCAAAAGACCCAAATACATGATTCAGCCATAGATATACTCCAGGGCTTGTGCAACAGTGACAGAAGAAAGTACCCCAGTGAGCAAAAAGAACAGGCATTCTTATTGAAGACTATTAAGAGGACTCTATAGGTCTGAAAACTTCTAGAAATGGGTAATTGGCCAAGAATGGAGAGCCCAGATTCCTGAGAAGCCAGAAGTGAGATCATCACACTGGACCGGCTACACCTAATCCATTAACTTCAGTGCAAAGAGACTCTGTGCCCCAACCTAATGGGTTAGATAACATTTCTGTGTCCTTGAGACCATTTGTCTAGGAAGGGTCTGCAGTGTCTTTGAGGACAGTGGGAAGGAGAAACCCTCACTCCTAGGTGGTTCCACTGCATGGAACTTGGACCCATGTTGGTGAAAGCAAAAATAACAGAAGCAGAAGACACAGCCTGGCCTGAGCAGCTGCGTACACCTCCCCACTCCCAGCAGATGAGAAAGGGGTTCTGGTCTCAGTTCTCATGGGCCTGGGACTTGGATGAACCCTGTCATTCAGTCTCAAGAGGGACAGTGAGGAATGACTTCATCTTTAGACCTCAGCCCAGTGATGGCCTGGGAGCCAGAGTTGACAGACATGGAGTCAGAGAATTGATCAGGGCCCCCAGGGGGTCTAACCATCAAATAGATGAGGATTTGGTCCTCCATTCATGGGAGCTGTTGGTACCAGGACACATATTGGACACTCCTGATGTGTCCCGACTCAGACAGAGCTGGATTCTGTGACCCTATTTCTACCCTGACCTGTCATGGACTCTGTCCTCAGGAGAGCCTGCCCCTGTAACCCAGGAATTTGGGCTCAATTTAGGAAATCATACAATATCTTGCTCCTAGGGACAGGCTTCAAGGAGAAATTTAAGAGAATGTGGAAAGACTTTGTAGACAAATTCGTTGAGATGGGTCTCAGACCCCTGTTTATATCAAAAGAGCAGCTGCTGACTTGGCCAAAAAGTTGGAGCTGCATAGGGAGCTCCATTGCTGTGGGGACAGCAGGTTTTTGTCTCACTTCCCCACAGGCCTGGAGCACTGTGTGAGCACTGAGACTAGGATCAAAGGACTGGCAGTAATAATCAGCCTCATCCTCAGCCTGGAGCCCATTGATGGTCAGAGAGCCTGAGTCACCAGCTTTGGAGCCAGAAAATCGTTCAGGGACACCAGAGGGTCGATTGCTACCACCATATATGAGGAGTTTAGGAGCCTTTCCTGGGAGCTGTTGGTACCAGTTCACACCCAAAATACTGTTGTATGAACTTCCAGAGCAGGAGATGGTGACCTTCTGGCCCAGGGCCCCAGAAACTGAAGGTGGCTGAGTCAGCACAGACTGGGCCCAGGACCCTGCAAGGGGGAGAGACACAGAGTTGGTGATGATTGGTTCTGGAGACAAGAGGAGGAAATAGTGCCCAAGTATCCTCCCAGGGCCCCTTCCCCTGTCCCTGCATCCAGTCACCTGTGCAATAAGCAAGGAGGGTGAGGAGGAGAAAGGACCAGGCCATGGTGGAGGTCATCACCGATCCTGCCTTCTGTGACCCCACAGCTGAGCAGAGCCTCCCCTCATCTCTCCCTTCCCCTCTTCATCCTCTGAGAGAGGGATGGACCAAACATGCAAATTAGACCCCCAATGCTCTGAACCCTCACTGACTCTGGGTCATGTCCCTCTGTTTGAGCATGTCACGGCGTTGGGCAGGGGAGGGGCTGTGTAGGACAGGCGGTTGGGTGGTCACAGTTGTGAGCCAGAAAAGAGGGAACAGGAAGTGCCAGGTGGCAGATCCCTGCTCTGTTGAACCCTGACCCCTCAGATACAGGTGAGTGGTGCCCCCTGGTGTCCACGCCCAGAAACAGCATTGTGTGACTTGCTGACACAATGGACCCATCAGAGAGAACTCCTGCCTCCCCACTGCACTGTCCACTGTCACCTTCCTTAGGGCCAGGCCATGTGTCTCCTTATGAGGCCTCCCATCAGGTCAGGACACACTTTTGCTCTACTCTCGCTCCACATAGTGAGTGTGTCCACACCTCTCTTGGCGGCTTAAGGGGCCGGACTGAGGTGGTGACTCTTGTAGAACCACATAGATGAGGATCAAGTCCAGAGCAGGGATGGGTCCACACTGACACATGGCCAGTTCTGTGCAGGAGGCTGATTTCCTCCCTTTTACCTGATTCCTCTCTGGTTTCCAGAGTTCTTTCCCAGAAGTTCCCTAGGCACTGAAGAGACAAGGGGATAAGGAAAATAATCATATATTTTGAAATCGGCAGATGACACCTTCTCCACGGATTCTTTCAGTCCTCATCATGGGTACAGTGTCAGCTAATTGTGAAGGAGGAACAAAATCAATCCTCATCATGGGTACATATCAGCTAATTGTGAAGGAGGAACAAAATCAATCCTCATCATGGGTACATATCAGCTAATTGTGAAGGAGGAACAAAATCAATAGGTTCTATATGCAAATACTGAAAGGTAGGATAAACACATCACTTTTAGAAAAATATACTAATTTTACTTTCATATTAAAGAAACTGAGTGGGCATGTTGGGAGCTAAAAGGCAGAGCCTGGGGTTGACAGCAGGAAGGAGAATATGAGGGGTTGCCGGCAGCTCTATTTTCTGGTCATTCTCCTCCCTAGAGATGGAGCATTTAGACAGGAAAATAGAGCAATATCATTTTCAGTTTTCTATGAAATCCTGTGTGGAGAGGGAAATCAGACCTCAAGAGTCAGGGGCAGAGCCAGAAGTCCTGAGGCACAGGGGATCAGAGAGGAGAAGAGGACGGAGAGTGTGGGGGGTGTTGTCAGGGAGAGTCTGTAGGATCTGGTCCAAGTTCACGTGTAGCTGGTTCAGAGAGAGGAGACTGTGTCTGTGACCAGGGTCATTGTCAATGTATCAGCTGTGGATACATCAGTCGTGACACAAGGTCACACTTTAAGGAATAAGATGGTAAAACTGATTTGGATGAATGTTTGGTGGGAAGCTTGTATTCATTCTCCAGACCCTGTGGGGATGTACACTTGGGCTCTTTTACCTGATCCATCAGTATGTACCTTGGATGCCCAATTTTCTCTTACTTTACATTCAAACATGAGTGTTTCCATTGTTCAAGGACAGAACTTTCTGCAGGTGACCACCCCCCTCCTTATGTTTCTGTAGGTAAGTTTCTCACTGAAAAAATGCTCACAGCTATTATCTGTGTGCCTAGGGATTTATGACTCATTTCCTCCTTATCTGAGACGCTGTGAGGAACGGTAGCTGCTCCCAGTGCCGTGAGCTGTAGCGCAGTGATAGTCAGCCTCATCCTCAGCCTGCAGCGACTTGGGGCCCTGGAGCCTTGATGCTTATATGAGTCTGCTTAGTAGTACGGGACATACCAGGGAAGGCTCCCTATCTTCTGCTGAAACCAGCTTATAGCATAGTTGCAAACACTGAAGCCGCTGCTCAGGGTTCAGGTGAGTCTGGATGAGGATCCCACGGAGGCAGAAAGGGAGGGTGGCTGGGTCAGCACAGGCTGGACAAGACACCTGCAAACACACACACTCATGGGTGATGTGGAACAGGGACCAAGGTAAATTTTCTGGTGCCTCTAAGTCAGAGTGGCTGACATAGGCTGGGGGGCCATCCTGTGTCCCTGAAGCCTGTCCTTACCTGTGCAGTGAGACAGAAGCATGGGAAGGACAGGACCCCCTGGTTGCCACACTGGGATCAGCTGCCTGAGGCTATTTTTCTCCTCCACCCTCTGCCTCAGGAGGGGCTGTCCATGCAAATGGGGTCTATCCAGTGACTGCTCAGACCCCTGAGCCCTGGTGCTGGACCTCGGCTCACACCACACCCTGAGGAGGATGGAGGTTGGCTTCAGTCCTGGGGAGAGCTTTGGGAGGAAGCACCTGCTGAGACCACACAGGGGTCCCTGCTCAGGAGACCAGACCAGAGAGGACACAGCTGCTGAGTCCCCATCAGGTAGCACCTTACCCAGCCCCCAGGCCCAGGCTCCTTTGAATGGTAATGAGCTGCTTAGGGAAACAGGGCAGTGCCCCTTTACTGGGACACACGCCTCACCACGCCCCCAAGCCCTAAGAGCCCGGATTGTGCCTGCAGCTCACTATGTCTGATTTCTAGACGCTGTGATCCTTTAGGCCTCCCGATGATATTGTCGTGTCTCACTCTCAGAACGGACCCAGGTCTTTAGGAATATACATAGAAAACGTGAACATCACTAAAAGGAAAAACTTCTTGAATAGGGTTCAGAGACCAGTAGGGGGAGCTCACGTGTCCACCATGCCTCAACTGCAGACCCAACAGAAGACAGACCATGCAAGTCTACAGACTACTGTAGCAACTGCCTTATCACCTCCCCAAGAGAAAGAAAGATTTCCACCTCCACCAGAAACACCCTAGCCAGTGAGAGACTGTCACAACTCAGTTATGAAAAGTGACTGTACTCGGAATCCCTAGTTTCCTCCCATGGGCTTTTTGGTCATAACATCCCTCTCACCCTCAGCCTTTGCTCCGTAAATGAGATTTCCTCTCCTTTGTTCTTGGACTTACCTATGGAATTCCCATTTGCCTGTCCTGGATTATAATTTCCTACTGTTCCTGAATAAACCCATTGTCACAGGTAAAAATAACCAGCAGTTTTATGTATATATGTATGTATGTATGTATTTGAATTCAATTAGTCCATTTATAGTATATCATTAGTTTCAGATGTAGAGATCAATGATTCATCAGTTGCATCACATCACATGCCCTCCTTAATGCCCATCAACCAGTTACCCCATACTCCCACTCACCTCCCTTCCAACAACCCTTAGTTTGTTTCCTATACTTAAGAGTCTCTCATGGTTTGTCTCCCTCATTGATTTCTTCCCCTTCAGTTTTCCCTTCCTTCCCCTATGATCCTCTGCACTGTTTCCTATATTCCACATATGAGTGAAACCATATGATAATCGTTTACTGGCAGTTTTATTCTTACGGTTCACAGTAACACCTGAAGTGGTCAGTGAATCCCAGAGTAGATTTTAGAAAAAGCTGAAGGACCCATATGTGCCACACATGATGTCACTTGCCAGGGGACAGTGGATTTGTTTTTTGTTTGCTTGAATGTACTATAAGGGTTCTTCAGGGCATCAGTATAGAATGAACATATTCCAGATAATAAAATGCATAGTGATACGTTGAAATGATGGAAACTTCATAAAAATTCTATAAGATACCACCTTACACCAGTTAGAATGGCTAAAATTAACAAGACAGGAAACAACAAATGTTGGCCAGGATGTGGAGAATGGGGAACCCTCTTACACTGTTGGTGGGAATGCAAGCTGGTGCAGCCACTCTGGAAAACAGTATGGAGGTTCCTCAGAATGTTAAATATAGACTCTCCTATGACCCAGCAATTGCACTACTGGGTATTTACCCCAAAGAAACAGATGTAGTGGAAGAAGAGGCACATGAACCCAAATGTTCATAGCAGCAATGTCCACAATAGCCAAACTGTGGAAGGCCCAAGATGTCCTTCAACAGATGAATGGATAAAGTAGATGTGGTTTATATATACAATGGAATATTACTCAGCCATCAGAAAAGATGAATACCCAACTTTTACATCAACATGGATGGGACTGGAGGAGATTATGCTAAGTGAAATAAGTCAAGCAGAGAAAGTCAATTATCATATGGTTTCACTTATTTGTGGAACATAAGGAATAGCATGGAGGACATTAGGAGAAGGAAGGGAAAAATGAAGGGGGGAAATCGGAGGGAGAGATGAACCATGAGAGACTATGGACTCTGAGAAACAAACTGAGGGTTTTAGAGGGGAAAGGGTGGGGGATGGGTTAGTCCGGTGATGGGCATTAAGGAGGGCATGTACGGCATGGAGCACCGGGTGTTATATGAAAATAATGGATGGTGGATCACTACATCAAAAACTAATGATGTATTGTATGCTGACTAACATAACATAATCAAATTAAATTAAATTAAAAAAAAGAATCTGGTGGTACCTCATTGTTTTAATTTGTATCCCAATGACATATTATGCCATTTGTGTACCTTCTTTGGTAAGGGATTTTCACATCTGCTCAGTGGGAGACACGATCGAGCCCCTGGATATTCAGGAGCTGAGCAAAGCTCTAATTTAAGGAAAAAAAGAGAAAATATGTATCGCTAAGATTTCAGAGGTCAGGGAATTCTCAATAAAGCCCATCATGGTACCAGGGGACATGTAGAGGGATGGGCAGAGGGCCACCTGGTTCTCCCAGGTCACACATCCTGCACTACTGCCCTTCTTGTCATTCCAACCCAGTATATGTGAGAGCAATTTTGTTTCTGGAAACAAAGTAACTATTTTTGCATTGGGAGACCAGTACCTCCAAACTGGGATATTTCCATTGACCTTCTAAACTTAAACAGGTCCAGAGATTGATGTCCTCTGGTTTTAGTGGATATGTAACATTAGAAACCATATTCTGAGTTGGTGTTGGTCCCAGGCAGGGAGAGGGGAGAGGTGAATAAGTCCAGTGCAGAGGTGGATGG